TTCTGCATAAAATAATTGAGCTCATCCAACTCCTTTGACCCTCTCAATGCTATCTAGGTACTTGAGAACATGTCTAAGGATAGCTTCTCTGCTTCTGGGGCACTATATCATAGAGCATTGATACAAAATTTACAGCAGAACAAAGTCTTGGACATCCTTCTTTTCTGAAGACTCCACAAGCCTTTCTAGTTTCCCTTCAAGGTATTTTTGATGGGTGATTGGTGCTTTTTTAACTTCTTCGCCTCTGTAGATTTGAAGATTAGCGAAGTATTCCACCCAGATTCTATTTTTGGAGTCCCGATTGATATTTAGGACTTCCCCTTCAATCGGGAAAAAGTATGGTTATGGACTCATTCTAAATCAAATTTAATACTTTCCATTCCCCCAGTTTTTGAATCAGGGATAGAAAATGTGTTATTATCGCCATCATAATAGCTCAACAACAGCTTAAGTATGGGGCGATCAGGCCCAGGAGCCCTAAATATAGCGCTAAAATATAGCTCCACGATATGCATCCCTATGCCACTGACGAATCTTCGGGGAAATACGCTTCATAAATTCCCAATAAGTCCCAATATTGGCGGTTAGCCTTATTGATTCAACCGCATCAGCATCAACAACTTTTTCCTATAAATAAAATCAAATGTTCAAGTTCAACTAGACCTAACGTGAACTGAAATTAGACCTAACATGAACAGGCTTCTAATAGAACTAACATGATCTGTCATAGAACTAACATGGATCAATCTAGAACTAACATGAACTGTTCTAAAACCTAGCATTGTTTAAGATGAACTCAAATTAGGAAAAATTACGTCGAGTCCCCAAATATTGGACAACTTGCACTTACTGCTTTTTGGGTTGGGTTCATTGGAACGACCATCAGCTTCTATTCTTATTTTCCGGTCTCGCCATTCTACTGCCTGCCTTTACATGTCCATAAGGGTTTGAGTGGCTTCCTCTGTGCTGTCAAGCCCAGATGAACCGTCTTGTCCTTCAACTCGCCGCGATGAACGATTTCGTAGTCGTTAATTGATTCTGCTTCCCTGGACGACATTTTTCCGGCGAAAACCCTACTCAAGTTTGAAATCCGGTGAGTTTTTTTTAGTTCAAAAATTTCGGTGGCTCCTCAGCGGTAGAAGAGAGAGAGTACTTGAGTAGGGAGGGGCGCAGTAACCGAGTTTAGTCCCATTAAAGGGTGCAATCGTAACTTCCGCTGGCCATATAAGGGGTCGGGTCACATGGAGTCCCTACTTTTGGGACCTCATCACAATTTTCCCAGCTATCTACTTAATAATACCAAAGAAGATTTTCAATATAAAATTGTACAAGATAATAGTAATATGTCTCATCAGACCTAGTTTATTTCAGTGAGCTACTAGTTTTGCAAAAGTTAGGAGACCCTTAAAGCTAAGATATGCAGAACATCTAGATATAAGAAGATTAGCTTAAAAGCTTTGGGGAAAAAAGTTAATCCCAAAGACCCTATTAATCTCCTAGATTAATGATGTCTCAATTCAAACATCCTAAAATTGACTGTAGTAGTAGCAAAGTTTAGCTAGTTCCTTATTGCTGACAAGTTAATTAAGGTGTTGTTATATCACAGAAATCACCAAATGTTAACTCTCCAGAAAGTAACACGTGTCTCAGTTAACTATACACCGAATGGACCTTTATCTTACGAAGGCCGACTCAAACGGTGTCCTCACATGGAAAGATCGACTCGAGAGGCGTCCCCGCTTGGATCGTCTCCCGAAGACCGACTCAGAAGACGTCCCCACCAGAATGCCACTCGGCCCGGCCAGTGTTAATTGTAGACGAATTCGCAGTATTTTCACGTTGTGTCACTTTTTTTTAATATTATTTTAATAATCGACAAATGGTTGACTACAGTATTATGCCCCACGAAATGAACTTAACACCGTGGCCCAACAAGATAATGGTCTATGGACTTTTGTAACAGCTGGCAGCTTGGTCACGTGACCCCCGCTGGGAGTTGGAAATAACGGCCCGCAGTTAACTACTCGTGACTCGTGATAGCAGTGGGCCGTCTTAAACCATTACAGCCCGTCACAATTAGCCCAAGGGGGAAAAAATAAGCAAAAGAAGAGGAAGAAGGGCGCGAGGGAATTGTCTGAAATTAAACAAGGATATTATCAACCTCTGTTTTTGGAGAAACTGTAAACGTAAACTACCTAACGTTTCATTAAATAGCTAATAATTGAACATTTACAATGAGACATTCTCACCCTTCGTGAGGTGATTTCTGCATTGTTATTGAATGAGTCTTCACGCAAGAATTCACAGTAACGCCTTGGCTATCAGAGCGTTTACTTAGGAGGTAGGAGTATTAAAAAAAATGTTGGAGTTACTACAAAAGATCATAAAAAACAAATTCGGTAGAGATCCTATCAGAACCATCTAGAATGGTTATCTAACCATAAATAGAAGAGTTATAATTCCCTAACTAACCCTCTAACCATACAATACGTGAAGGGTATAAATCAGAATCCTACTAAAAAATATTGCGCACGTGGTTTCTTCTTTTGTTCCACCAAATTATCCCAGTGTCAAAAAATTATCCCACTTTACCAATTATCCTAGTTCTACTTAAAAAGTTCTAGGTGACTAACTAGTTAATCAGGTACTTTTAAATGGTACCCTATCCACGTTGAAGAAAGATGAATAATTTTGTCAAAATATTCACAATTAGTTAATCAGGTACTTTTAAATGGTACCCTATCCAGGATTTTAAATCATCCTACTCGAGTGGTAAAGCTACTTTTAAAAGCTGTATCCTCTTTTTTTAGTTCACCAAAAACCTAAAGTAGGTAAAAAGATGAAGTTGAAAAGGAAAAAAGATAAAAAGCTAAGCCCAAGAGCATTACATGGCATCCAACCATTCATAAATTAGCAGCCAAAGTCTCTTAATGCGTATTATCATCCTGTTAGAAAATTGTTCATTAAGAAGATTCATAACTTGAAATCTTGGACAATCCTACAGTAAAACACAAGCATTTGCAAAGAAAGAAAATCTTCTCCAATACCAAAAAGTAAAAATATTACTGAAATGCAATGGAAGTCAGGTTGCATAGTTTGAATATTCATGCACAAATCCAAGGATATATATAATTTGGTTGCAAATATAATGTCATAGACCGTCCTTACTGGATACTTGTCGTATATTCATTACACAACATCATCATCCATAACAGAGGATCAACACAACAGGTCAATAATAGGAAGTGCTTGGTGCTTCAATCCAATAATTTTACAGAGATTTTTACCAGGATTCTCAATCATATCAACTTCAAATGGTGAGTGAAATTTCTGCGTATGAAATAAAGCAGAGGTGCACTCACGAGTACCCCAAAGGAAAATAAAACGCAACTCTGCCAACCTTTTATCCTTCAAGACTATGCAAAAGAAAACTTTTTTCTAATTGGGAATCATTTTACCTATAGAGCCTAGGCCTAGAGGGAACATGCACTCAACTTTCAAGCCTGTGCACGTTTTTTCTGCTATTGAAGTCTGTAAAAGCTTGGCATATAAAAAATAGCTAGTCTTAGTTGAAGCAATAAGTCAATAAATGAGACTTAAAGTTAAAAAAACTATGCACTATATTCACATCCATTTCCATATTCTGTTATATGATCATATTAAGATTTCCATACTGTGTTACAAATTACAATTGTAAAATTTTGCAGGATTTCCTTGAAATTTATCCACGACTTCACACCTTAAGAGAGGAGTAATCACATACATACATCTCTACCAAATTGCAAGTAGAAAACATATGCAAGACTCTTGCTTAATATAAAAAAATGTGATTGGTTTAGAGAAGTTCTATATCAAGGACGAAAGCGGTTTCAAAGTAGAGGTACATATTAGAATAAGCCAAACTTCATTAATCACAGAAAGTTAAGGGTTGACTTCTGATCATATCAATTTTTTAATATCTCACATTGGGGTTAAGTAGGTCAAACAAGCAATCTGATGCATTAGCATGCAGGTAACACTATTGGATGAAGAGGGGAAAAATAAGAAGAGAAGAATATCACATGTTGACAATTCAAAGCACGTTAAATTATAATGCAACTTCTGTAAAGGATCGTCTCTTGGATAGCCAATGAATTGTTTTTTTTTACTTCCTCGTCTCTCTTCTTCTCTCTCTCTGCACTGTCTCGTCTCTGCTCTCCTCTCTCTCTCCTCATCTCTCTCTTTGTTTTTCTTTTCATCTTTTTATGTTTTTTCTTTTTTTTTGGGGGGTTGGTTTGGGGGGGGGGGGGGCGTGGGGCGGGGGGGGGGGGGGGGGGGGGGGGGGGGGGGGGGGGTGTTGTGGTCTATGGAAAAAAAAAGAAAAGAAAATGAGAAGATTAAAAGTCTTTTTATCTGTTCTAACATAAATTTCAATCCATACTTGAATATAGTCGGATCAAGAAGTTATTGCAGTATTGTAAATTGTTATTAACCTAGAATATGCAAAAGGATAGATGCCATTTCTGAGCAAAAGATTTCTAAAATCCCCAAGATCAAGCCTGTCAATGCTCTATATTTGAAGAGAGAGACACAAAAAAATACAGTATTCACTATTATCTAATGATTATTCTCTGCGAAATGTGTTCAATAAAGTCTATATTTAAAGTTTTTTTGGTCCTCTAAACAGAAGAAATGGCAGGCAATGTATTTTTCTTGACCTTCATGTGTATAATATGCCTTTTTTTGGTAAGAAGGGAAGAAGAACTAACCTAGAGGCACTAATTTGGTAAAAATAATTCCCCTAGCGTCATCTTCAAGTATCCCCTCGACTCAATAGGAGGGGAAGAGAGAATTGAGAACTTCGATGAGTCAACCCAGCACCTCGCCAAAATGTTCGCACATCAATTACCCTCTAACCTTGCGCTGCCATATAACAAGCTTTGAATTCAATAGAGTACTTAATGGGAGGCAAATTGAATTGCAGAAACTGTATGATGGACTACAGGGGAAGAAAAGGCAAAGACAGGGAAAATGCAATCAGATTTTTCATATCAGACCTACAATTTACAATTCTTCAACTCAAAATCAACAAGTTTCAACTCTAATACATTATTCACATATCTCTATCCTGAACAATCATATTGAGAAATCCCTCCTTTCACACTTCTCCAACAAAAAACATCATCAACTAAGAGGAGAGACCTAAAATAGAGGTGTGTCAGTAAAATCAATCAAAGAGTTAGCAAATTAAAACCTGTATCATTTCGTCAAGGACTTGAAAGCTTGAATCAAGAGAGAAAAATCAAAGACCCCCTTCTCACTATTTTGGATCTCCTCCTCAAACCAAAGCCTGCTCTCCAAAGATCTCCGCTTTCTGAACATAAAAACTGCATAACCCTTTGAACGATTAAAATTTTTCAAATCCCACATCAAATCAATCGGCAATCCATCAACAAAAATAGTATGATTCCCTCTAAAATTCCACTGTAGCCTCCTCACATGAACAACCCTCTTGTTATCAATACTCACAGTCATCTCTAAATCCCCATTGCAACTAATAACAATGTCATGCTCCTTCCCTTCTTCACTAAACTGAGCTTTCGTCGAATAAATGTTATGGCCTATGATTTTCTCCAATCGACTCACTAAAAGGAATTGTGCGATTTGAATTGAGTTTTGAAACGTTTTGATGTAGTCTCTGCTCATATCTCCAAGCATAAGGGCGACCTCAGTGTCGACGATGACGATAATGTAGAAGTCAGAGATGGGATCAGGACCTGAATTGTTTCCATTAATTTCTTTCAGATCCTGGTGTTGTTTGTTAAATTTATAATGGCTAAATTGCACTTAAATACCACGAAGTATCCCCGCTCTATCACTTATATTCTACAAGGTGTATATTTTGACAGAAAAATATCATAAATTGTTAAAACTTGGCACGTTAGTATTATCAATCATGCAAACGTGAAAATTTTCAACCGAATGTTTCTCTATGGTACTTACATGCTAATTTTAGAGCGTTTTAACTGTTAACATTTGTTCAATTTGCTACTAAATAAACCAAAATTCTCTTTGTAACTTATATTAATTCTACTTTAAAATAGAGTTGAGATATGTCTACTGAAAAACTTAACAAATATTAATGGTTAGAAATGTATAAAATCAACATGTTAGTGTCATATAGAAACATTTCAGGTGAAAATTTTCACGTGAGCATGATCGAGGATACTAACGTGCCAATTTGTTAACAACTTATGTTTTTTTTTTTTTTTGCCATAAATTACAACTTATGATATATAAGTGACAGAGCGTGAAAACATTTTGGTATTTAAGTGCAATTTAGCCATTTATAATTAATATACACAAAAACCCATCTTCAACTATCAATATATTTCAAATACCGTCTAAAAACGTGAACCATAATTTTACTCACCCATGTGAAAATTCCGGTTGATGCTGTTAGTGGGATTCTTGAAAAAAAAAAAAGTTTAAATTTGACGGGGGTTTTCAGAGATCCCAAAACTTGGGGGGTTTGCTGACATTTCGAATGTTAGCGGGGTTTATCTGAGAAACGCTCAAATTTAAAGGGGTTTTCTCAAAATTTGCTCGAGGAAAATCACAAAATTAACCAAAATTCTGAAGATTGGGCCGAATTGCTTACCCAAATTGTTGAATTTGGCCATGGAGTAATCCCAATGGACGCTGATAATGGAAGAGCCGAGAACCAAGGATCGAGTGCCCTTCGTCTTCTTCAAGAGTTGAGGGTTAATGGAGTCATCGACGGCCATGGAGAGAGTGGGGCCCAGCTCTGTCTTGGACCACGTGACTTTGATGAGGTGGTTCCTTTTGGAGGAGAGAATGGATCGATAGACGGAGGTGACGGCGGTTTGGACGGAGAAATTGACGACGGCGGCGGCGGGGATGACGGAGGGCCTGGTGCATGAGGAATCTGAGACCTTGACGGCGTGATCGCTGAAGCAAGAAGCGAAGTCCGTCCTCATCTTTTTTGAACTCAGATGATGATGATGATGAGAACTTCTCCCCTTCCGAGGATATTTATTGTCGGAGTAGTAACCGCAATTAGTTAATTTGTGATGACAATGGTGAGAGGAAATTAAAAATTGAAGGGAAAGGGAGGGAGGAGATGGCTCCTCAAAAGGAATCTCATGTATTGAGAATTGAAACTGTGAGCATGACGCTGACAGCTGCTGCTTTGGGCTTTTGTTTTTTGATGGTGGAAATTTTGGATTGCTGGAGAACACAATGGTTTTTTAATTCCGAATATAATAGATTCATGATAAATATATCAGAAAACCCCCTAAATTTAACGATTATAAGATAACGTCTCATATATTTTCATAATTTTATCTACCAATGTGAAAGATTGCGATTGAAGCTATTAGTGATTTTTTTTAATAAAAATCTTAAAGTTGAACGAGTTTTCTTTTTAGAATCCCTGAACTTGAAGGGTTTTTCTGACATTCTTAAAGTTACTGGGGTTTTCTCATATTTAGTTAGCATCGTATTGTTCACTTTTATTTTGTCTAATAACTTGTTGGGGGTTATCATAGTGCTGTTACTTCTACTCTGTTTTGATGAATGGGAATTTTTGTGTTGTTACTGCTACTTTTTTTTAATAAATTTTTTGTAGGGGCTTTTTATTGTTGTTATTGTGTTGTTACTACAACTGTTATTATTATCATTAAAAATCTATACTACTTATAAAAAGAATACCCATGTCAAAACTTTTTCATACCCATTTTGCGCTTTACAAATTACTTAATTCTAATTTTCTCCTCATCACAATAGTAAGCTTTAATTAGTGTCTTAGACTCTTAACCTTCCATAACTCATTAATTAATGTGCTGAATACGAAAACTCATCAACCCCTTTGGCTTGAATTTAAATCTCCATCAAGTGACATGGCCAATTGAACTCCACGCATAATGCAAAAAATTCCTTCAGCTAATGTAGTCATTCACATTATCCACGATAGCCATGAGCTTTTAATGAAACTCCAAGGCTTTTCGTTTCCCGTTCGTTATCCTTATCATTATGCAACAACGCTTAAAACTTTTATTGATTTCTATTGACTATATCTTTCATATCTCCCTCATTTCACCATCTCCGCTCTCATCTAAATTTCTCTCTCAATTCCACATTCTCCTCTGTCTTCCTTCCTCTTGGTCAATGCTTTGTTCTCCTCCTTCTCAATATCTAACCAGCGTTAGCATCTTTCAAATTCAATCTTAAGCCTGTCATTTGTCGAAGGGGGTTATACAAGGAGAGAGCACTGGTATGAAATCCATTTCATAATTTGAGCTCTGTTATATTTCTTCGTCATCTGATCTCTTTGTACATATTGGTTAGTTTTGTTTGATTTCTATGGTTTTAGCTAATTAGATCTCTTCAAAGAGTGATGGCTAGAACTTGTTTTGATCTATTTCTTGTGATAAATTTATGTAGCAAGACGAAGTGCACTCAATATCATACCGTCGAAAAAGAAGTTGGCCTAAAGCAAGGTGTGAGAGACATTTTCATCCACTTCGATCGAATTTGTTTTCTTTCTGTATTTTTATTTGATTTATTAAATTTATGTTATTCTTGGGCAAATTTTGACTTTACATTTTCCATGTGATGGATGTGCCTTGGATCTTAGTTTTTTTTGCAGGATCTTTCTCAGAGCTGAATATCTTTCACGTTTTTGTTAGTTTAGATCCTAGATCACATTTGTGCATTTATTATCTTAAAAAACATAACCTTCTAATATCATTGTGGATTTTAGACTTGAGGTTAAATTTTCTAAATTTATTTACTCTTTGTAAATCTTATTATGACCCAAGTTCAGTAGTCTTTTTAGGCGGCAATTTGGTACTACAACTGGTTATTCGTGTTCTACTGCAAACAAGAGCATGACTATTTTCTTGAAGCATAACAGTATGCATGATTACCTACTTGATCCAAAGAAGGTATGACCTCTCAGCCTCATAATAACGCTATGTGATATGAGGAACTTAGCTTAGATATTGTAATTAGTTTCGAATATGCTTGAACTTGAATTGCACTGAGTGTCTAATATGGTTGGTCTCTTATCATTGCTTGATTATGTCAATTTTATTTATACTATTGATTGTGATACTAATTAAATTCAAAATTTTGAATTTTACAAACATAGTGGTTACTTTTGGAGGTCAAACTAAAATTTTTGTTGGAGGGGAAAACTAATATAGAATATAAGAAATATAAATATGCAAGTTTGAATGTTTTAATTACACATACAATGTCTATTTCAAATTGGAGCTCATATTTTTTATATTTAACAAGTATAAATTCTTTTTATGCAAAACCAAGATTAGTGTTATCTACTAAATATGCTCATGTATAGATATTTTTCTAGAGCTTATATTACAATGTTAAGGAATTTAGTAGTGAGGATCTAACAAGTGAAAGAGAACCTTATTCATACACGCGCGCACGCACACACACACTACTTATAAAAGATGATATGGGTGACAAAACTTTTCATTGTTTTTTATTTAAAAATTTTAAATATAATGGTCATTCACATATGATAAGAGTAAATATCCCCACATTTAGGGGAAATTTTTAATTTAACTTTGTCATTTTCTATCTTTTGTTCTTCAAATAACTCTCACCTAACCGATGAGTAGTCTTGTAGGCTGATGGACTCACTGGGGCAAATTATTCTCAGTTTGTTAGTCTTCTCCATAACATTATAAAACATATGTATAATATAACTTGAAATACACATGCCACTTAAGATGGAAATAAATTCTATGTAACTATAATTAATCATATAATTCATACATGTGTTTTTGTGATCAAATGCATTTGAAACTCCATACCTATTTCATTATAATTAATCACATGGTTCATACATGGTTGGACGTGGTAGCCTTTGACATTTTTATAGTGAAATTTGGATAGGATTGGAATAAAGGTGAAAGTAATTAGCTCATCAAACAGCAAGGAGAGGGAGGCTATTGAACACTTCCAGTGCTGATTCTAATTAGCTCATCAAACAGCAAGGAGAGGGAGGCTATTGAACACTTCCAGTGCTGATTCTTTCCTTGATAGCAGTAGTATTGAAGAAATATAGATATGAACAATATGGATAATTTGAATTTACTCTCTTACTTGATACTATGAGTTTAATTTGGATAGAGGAAATATTTGCAATATGAGAATCTAAGGTGACCTATAAAATGTTTCTAAATTGGGCAAAGTATTGCTTTTTTGGATACATGTGTAAAATTTACTAAAATAATATTGTAATTTCTGATTCTGGACTCATTTGTAATTCTCTACTATATGCATATTTGAAAATGTTATCATTTATTTAATTCATATATTCTATTCTTTCCTGGATCCGACGAGCCAACCTAAAACATTTTACATTCTTTAACTCTCTTTAGAGAGAGATAGAACGCATGCATGGGTGTGAATTTTTAATCGCATGAATTTAGATTTCTAATCTCTAACTCTCTCTGAGATTTTGTGTTTGTTGATGGGATTTTTCTTTTTATATTGTGTCATTTTCAGGGAAAAGTAAAATATAAGAAAAAGATAGAGAAAAATAAGAGGGAAGAATGGTAAGCGCAAAGGCGAGTTTCAAGATTAGAGTAACTTGTCAAGAATTATGAATGTTTTTGTTAAAAAGGGTTTTAGTCTAATTTATTTAATTTTCTCTATAATTTTTTAATGATTCAGATCAAATAGGCATATTTATTCTAAAACCATTGCAGATAAGAGAGGAAAGGTGCAGTCAATTATACGAGTTGCTCAAGATATCTGAGGTACTGCCATTTGATCTTTTAGAATATAATGCTATGATCTAATATGATTTCACCTCCATTTGGGGGGAATATTTTGATGTGAGTACTTAAATTAATTCATTTAAAATCTTCATATTTGTATCTTTTGATTCAATGTAATTTCGCAAAGTTTAATGAAACATTCAGGCCTTGTTTTATCTTCTACACAAACGTACATCAGTGGACGTGTTTTCCCAAAGTTTATAGAATTTCCCCAAAGTTATAGAATTTTAGGTCTGACCTTTCTCAAGAAATGTTTTGTATTTGATTGGTAGCATATTGCTTAATTTAAATAAATCATTATATTTCTAATGCTTTCATGTTCTGTAAATTTCCTATCACTTTTTTTGGGTTGAAGTTTCACATGTATTGAAACTTAAAGACATGCACAGTGGTGTTGACTTCATCATTGTCACATTATAGTGAGTTTTAATACAATGTGGCATCAACTTCATCCAATGCCTTGCTGAATAATTTTAAAGTGTGGCATCAACTTCATCCAATGCCTTGCTGAATAATTTTAAAGGTTACTCTCTGTTTAGTTAGAAAGAACTTTGAATTGGACGTATTAAAGGTCAAACAAGCATTTTCCTATTGTCTATGCTATTGCGTTTGTTGCGTGTACTCCATTTCTTTTGTTAATTATTGGTTCCGCTCCGAGTGTTTATTGAAGATATTTATGTCTACTGATAGTATTTGCCTCACTATTGACATCCTACTTGGGCGTCTCATATTGTGACAGAGTACAGATTAGGTTTATTTTCTATGACAACCTTGAATATGATGCTCGCCAATTAGGACTTCAGGTAGCTTTTTAGCAAATGTGGAAAGGTTGACATGAGGTGAGTTAAATCCCCATAACTGATACTGGATTGGAGAACTTCTTGTACTTTTAATTGTTGAGCACTTTGTTCTAGCTATATTGTTGACCTCTAAGCATTTATAGATATTAGACATGAAGCTTTGAGCGATGGTTTGCGCAAAAAATATGCATCTCTGGAGCATGTATTGAATTTATGGAATATTACGGGGCATCATCTGAAGATGCATTTCATAATTTATTCCTCCCTAAATACGAGGATGACCATCTTTGATTCACAAGACTACATGTTTGCCATCTTTGATTCACAAGACTACATGTTTGATTCCTAAAAATTTTGAGTTGCTTTCTATTTTGATCATTCTTTACTTTTTAACATTAAACTCGGCGCATAGCTACTATTGCACGTGTAATGTCTATTTATGAAAACTATGTTGGACCCTAGAGGGGGGGTGATTAGGATCAAGAGGCTCTAATATGCAATTTAAAACTCAGCACAAGCAAACCACAAAACAGAAGTGCAATCAAATA